ATGCTTTTCAGTGGATCGTAATGCGCTAATAATAACTCTGATGACAAAATTTGCTTGAAACCATCCAAACAGCGTTGATGAAGTTCCGTCCATTGCCACTGCTTGTGGTTTTGAAGTAGTTCGTCTAATGGTCCTCGGTATTTGCGCATGTGATTTATGAATTTTCCATAAAAATTGATAGCACCTAAGAGTGATCTAAGTTCGAATTGATTGGTTGGCGCAGGCATTGTCTTGATTGCTTCAATGTTTTTTGGATCTGGGCGAATGCCGTCTTTACTGACAATATATCCCAAGTAAGCAATTTCAGGAGCTGAAAAATTGCATTTTGCGATCTTGAGTTTAAACCCGTATTGATAAATACGTTGTTGAACTTCCTGTAAGTTGTTGTCATGCTCTTGTTGGTTTCTACCTGAGACAAAGATATCGTCAATGTAAGCAGCTGCGCAATGTAAGCCCGCAAGCATTTTATCCATAATTTGTTGGAAAATTGCCGGAAAAGTTTTGACGTCAAATACCATACGCTTGTATTTGAATAAACCTAGATGCGTGTTTATTGTGAGAAGTTCTTGCGATTTGCTATCAACTTCTATTTGGAGAAAAGCGTCCGAAAGGTCTATATGACTAAATACTAATGCATTGCTAATTTTTACAAAAATATCCTCTGGAAGCGGTAGTGGATACTTGTAAGATTCAAGCGCGTCGTTAAGACCAGTTGAGAAATCAGCGCAAATACGAATGCTACCATTTGGCTTTTTGATAACTACGATTGTTGCGGCCCAGTCAGAGTAATTGATGGGTGCGATAATGTCGAGATCTTGAAGTCGCTTAATTTCTTCTTCAACCAAATGTTGAACTGCGTATGCTACCGGGCGCTTAGGTCGAAAAACAGGTTGACAGTTTAGTTTAATAATTAAATGTGCCTTAGTTTTATTACAAAGACCCATAGCATTATCGAAAAGTTCTGGAAATAATTTTTCCGGAAGAAATTTGCAATTTGAAGATTTTATGGAAACATTACTTCCCTGTTTTGTTGTTGAAATTTGGCTGCAAATAGCATTAAGCGTCATATCGCTAAGTTGAAAAGCAGTTATCCAGTCCAATCCGAATACGTTCAAATCGATCGTTGTAACGAAGCACGTAAGTGTTCTAATTGTGTCTTTTAACTGAACATCACATGTAAATTTTGCGTACAATGGTAAGTTTCCAGTTGCACTTTTAGCAGATTCTGGTTGTACTTCCATTGTATTTAAAATATTTAATTTGTCGAAATTAAATTTTGAAATGATAGTTACGTCCGATGCAGTATCAAATTGCAATTTGATTCGCACATTGTTGATTTTAACGTGGACATGTAATGCAAAAAAAAATATTCTCGTCGCCACTGTTATATCTGTATAATTTCGATATTTATTTATACAAAAAACTCCTAGTTATTATTATTTCACAAGTTCCAAATAACTGACAAAATTAAAATGTTAATTCTTCTTTATATGTCATCTGTCATCCTTGGCAGAGTTGCCAACAATTACATTGAAAGAGAGATTCTTAGAAGAATATCCAAAGGTAATTATAAAATTATTTCAAGAAAAAACATAAATTATCAGTTTGATTACTTAGCGCGAGCTTTAATGCCAAAGTGGATATTCTTCCGAAATATTTAGAGCTGTTGTGAAAAAGGATAATTCGACCATAAAAAAATGTAAATTCCCTCACCAAATGAAGAAACTCGTTTATTCTCAAAATTCATTCGCCTAAAATTAACTTGACCCGCTGCATTAATTTGCGTAAAATATCGGGAACTTCTGGTGCAGAAGTTAAAAGCGTTTGTATAGAAGCTGGTATGTACGCATTGCGTAAGCGTTGTGCGCATGTTACTCAAGAAGATTTTGAAATGACTGTCGCTAAAGTTATGCAGAAGGATTCAGATAAGAACATGTCCATTAAGAAATTATGGAACTAAATTTTAAAACTTTTATAAATTTATACATCGAGTATTATGAAATGATTATTGATTCGTAATTGAATTATCATTTCTTGGATCTTCACAATTAAAAATTTAAAACTTAGAATAACATTTACGTTTTTTGTATTTGCTAATTTATTGTGAGAAACGCATAATTAATTTTTTTTGCTATTAAAAGCGGATTGAAAGCGTTGTGTATTCGATTAAATGTTGGTTTCTAATATTTTTGTTTTATTACCATATATTTTATTACAGTTGTATATGATTTTAGTTTATATAAAAAATGTTTTGTCTTAAATATTTTTTCAAAACCTCTTGAGTTGCGTTTTCAAAATACACAATTTTGTAACATGTCACATTAAAAATGTGTGGGATTATTGACTTTGTCTTGGACTTCATAATCAACTAACCATTGCCACTAAAAACTTTAGTGGAAGTTTTGCCCTTCGCAAGAAAAAGCATGTCTTGTTTTCCAATAAATCAAGACATGCTGTAGACCAAAAAAATAATCAATGTATTTTACAAACAAATAATTAAGAGCCACTGGTGCAAAGAGTAGTACCAATATTTTCCAAACAAATAATATCGTTAAGATAAAAATTCAGTATTTTACAGGCCACCAGTCCTAATGATACACTTATTTTGAAGTGATTTAGGCTACCATCATTTAGAGTTATTGTCACAAAATAAATTTAAATCTGGCCAGGTTTATATATAAAATATTCAGAAAATAATTGTGTTGAATGAATCAAATTTTATTTTATTTATTAATGTATTACTAAAACCGTATTTACAATCATTACAAGATCTGAATTAAAAGATAAGTTAAAAATTGTATTTGTTATGATGACACCACCATACGAATATCATTATTGTCAGTAACATCTCAACACGTTTGATCATTTGTATCAATAAGTGTACTATTTGCATTATATGATAGTAAGGACGTACATAATCAATGTGGCGACAACTAACAGCATAATGTAACGCAGTCTCTAAGATTGGCTTCTTTGACAAAATTAAAAACATCATTTTCATGTTCAGCTTTTTGTACTACATCATTTGGCGATAGCTCAGTGAAATAAACTACCCAACTAAAGTCAGGTTCACATTTCTGTGCATTTTTTAACTTTGGCTGCCAAAGTAGATCAAGTTGTTTTACCTTTTCATTATATAAATTGTTTACAAATAATGTTAACCACAAACAAAATTATTCAAGTGTCAAAACTTACCAAAACAATATTGCCAAGTCAATGAAAAAAAGTTAAATTATTTTTTTGGAAACAGCCACTATAATAAAATTTTGTCAAATAAATATTTATAATATTTAATAAAAGTAATAAAAATTTTAGAAAATACAGATATTTACAAAATTTATTGCAAGTGCTTATCAAATAATGAAAAATATATGGAAAAAGTGATCACTTTTCGGTTAAAAGTTTTCTAATAACGATGATTAATTTTTTTAATACAAATAAAACAAAACGTTTTAATAAAATTATTTTTTATTGTAATTTTCTGTATTCATATATTCATATAAATTCACATATGAAAATATTATCTTATGAAACTACTAAAATGGCAGTCCTGGCGGTTTAGTCTCGACTTAACCACCTCGAAAATATGTTAAGTATCGACACATCACTACATTAGGCGTTTTCTTTTGTAAGCAAATCACAAAAGAACAACCGCTTATTTTAAAAATAACATATGAAACAACAACACTGCTCGCTTATTTAGTTCAACCTTTTTAAAACCGCTTAACTAATAAGCTGCTTAAATTGCATGGTTGCCAAGACTAAAAACTCGTCTATTGGGAATTTCCAGTCCACTGTCAACGAATGATATCGTTCATTTTTCGTATTTTAAGTTATCATTGTTTGTTACAAATACATTATTTTTTTTATATATTATTTTACTGTTAAAATGCATGAAAATTCATATTTTAATCATAATGTAAAAAGAAAAATGTTCTTACAAATAATTGCAATGAATTATTATTCATTTCTGAAATTTTAACTTTAAATTTTATTACGCGTTAAGTAAGCCTAATTTTCCGTTTTGTCCAGAGTTGCCATCGAAAGTATTACTTATTTTATTTGTTCTTTCCCGACATGCGTACAAAAGAAAGGCCTATTATCGACACAACTTAGAATTTCACTCATTTAGAACGCAACTTAGCCCAACTCGCACACGACCAAAGTATTGCCAAACACGCATTATCAGCGGTCTTGGAATTATTTCTTGTATTTAATTATTTGGAAATAATTGATTTTGAGACTATAAGTACCAAAAATAATTTTTAGGTATTTCGAAAGGTTTTAAAGTTTAGGCTGTTAAAAATGGAAGTTTTTCATGTTATAGACGAAAATTTTTTTATACTATATAATTTATACGATAACAGTTTTGTTGGGTTGTACTCAAAATATTATATTTTTAGTTTTATATTACAAAAACAAATTGTCAAAATAGACTCATTGAGTCTCATGCACTTTTAATAAAATAAAAATGCCAGTTTCTCGTTTACTCTGACGAAAGAAGGTTGAATTAACATAAAAGAAACATAACGTTTTATAGTTACTATCCGGTATCCGTTACGATTTTCGCATGTGCTCTGTGTGTTAATAGAATCACGTTGTTTTCGATATTCTTAAGGTAATTGGTACTTTGCTATCTTGCTGCTACATCTGCTGTTAACTGCGACGCTTTGTTTCTCGGTTTAGTTCTCGCTGCGCTGTCTTGCTGCTACATCTGCTGTCAACTGCGACGCTTTGTTTCTCGCTTTAGTTCTCGCTGCGCTGTCTTGAAGCTACATCTGCTGTCAATTGCCACGCTTTGCTGTTTTTCGGTTTCACATATTTTTATAAAATTTGTGCATCTTTTGCTTCGCTACTTTTGGTTCTGGTCGCTGCTGTGCTGCTGCGTTCGATTCATTTCAGTGCAATTATTGATGCGTTTTGTTTTCTAGGCTTTCGATATGTCAATTGTTCACAATATTTTGATTTTTGCATCTACGGCAATTTAATTGGATTCTATTATGGCTACTGAACTTAAACAGCAACGTGCTAACACGAAGAAGAATATAACACGGATCAGGAGTATCATAGAACGAAATGCAAAATCAGACACAACGGTTTTATCGCCTATTGAACTAAAATGCCGTTTAGGTATTTTGGAATCGTATTTTACGCAGCTAATGAGCTACCAAATTCGAATTGAAGAATTGGATCCCGAAGACAATATGAGAGGCGAGCTTAAGGATCTATATGTCAACATCAAAACATCTATTCAAGAGCAACTAGGTGAGGATTTGCATATGTCGTTACGAGATCACACGTTTTCACCTGTCTCATCAATTACGAGATTGCCACTGTTAAAATTGCCGTCGTTTAGTGGAACATACTCTGAATATAAATATTTTATTTCGTCTTTTAATCAAATCATTGACAGAGAAGTTGATTTGTCAAATATTGAAAAATTTGATTATATGTTAAACTGTTTACATGGACAAGCATTGGCTTTTCAAGTTAGTAACGAAAATTATCCAAAGGCACTTCAAAGATTGAAATCCCGCTATGATAATAGCAGCTTAATTTTTATGGCAAATATTGCTTCACTGTTTGAATTGCCACATACATCAAGGCAAAGTTGTAGTCAACTTAGAAGCCTGGTTGACAATGTGTCTGCAATCTACGATTCGCTGCGCTTAATTGGCTCCGACAAGCAAATTTCAAATGCAATGCTAATTTACTTGGCAATGCAAAAGGTGGATGATGGTTCAAAAAATAAGTGGATGGAATCTCTTGACTTTAATTCTTTGCCTTTATGGGAAGACTGCGCTAAGGTTCTGGAAACACTCTGCCAATTTCTTGAATCGATTGAAACGCCACTTCGGTCTCAAGACACTATTCGTAGGAATGACAAGTTTTCTAAAAAGATCGATAAGCATCAATCTCGTCAAAATTGCTCATTTGTTTGTACTAAACGCACTTGTCCGTTGTGTGACACTACTGATCACATCATTACTGGTTGTCAGCGCTTTATGTCTGTTCCGGATCGTTTCGAAAATGTGAAAAGACTTTCTGTCTGCATAAACTGCTTATCCAAAAATCATAAAGTTACTCAGTGTACATCTACTTTCAAATGCAAGATTTGTTTACGGTCTCATCATACAATGCTTCATCGAGCTCAAAATACATCAAGTACGTTTTCGTTATCGCCAGCACCTCAACCTACGGTGCAAACTACATCAGCTGTTGTTCATACTCATTTAGGAAATTCATCGCAAAATACAATTGTTATCGTCACAGCAATTGTGCTTTTCCGTGATAACACTGGTAACTATCGGTTAGGGAGAGCGCTCCTCGACTTCTGTTCACAGATTAATTTAGTATCTGAAGAATTTTCCCAAAAATTGAGATCACCGCGTGAAAGACATAACATACAAATCAGTAGTATTGGTGACACAAATACAAGGATAAAACATGAAACCTCAACTAAATTAAAATCTCGCTTCGCTGATTTCGAAATTCCACTTGATTTTTGCATCACTTCTCATATTTCGTACCAGCCTCTATCACAAATTGATATTTCTTCTTGGAACCAGCAAACACTAAGCTTGCAGATGAAAATTTCTATAAATCAAATCGTATCGACCTATTATTATGTAGGAGCAGAGACATTCTTCAATATACTTTGCGTAGGACAAATCAAACTTAAAGATAACTTACCTACGCTTCAAAAAACATTGATTGGTTGGGTTTGTCCAATTTGGACGTAATAATGATTTGTAATAATTTGGACATAATAATGATGATAGATAATCGAAACCTCTTATTTTAATTTAATTATTTGTTTTGTTGTGAAAGCGAATTTTTATGCTTATAATGTTAATGACTTGATGTCTTAGCCTTGAACGGTGGGTTAAGATATCAACATTTATCAAAAACAACAACAACAGTTGTATATCACGAGCACACTTTGCTCGGCATATGAAACTGCAGATAAGCCATGCATTTGGCATGTGCAATATTTTAATGCAAACATTATGAGAAATGAAAATTCGTTTGTGCAAAGTCAGTATTATAATTATTAAAATAATAATTATGTTTGTAAAGCAAGCTGGTATTTGGACTTAGTTCAAGGTTAAAAGAAAATAAGTTTGTCAGCATATACCA